TCTCTCTCTCTCTCTCTCTCTCTCAATTCCTTTTATTTTGCTGTGTCATCATTCTTTCTCCCCAAAGAAAACCCGTTCAATACATTCAAAGGAGTCGTGATATCGCGTTTATTTCCCGTCACAGGACAAGGAATTTGTCGCTACAACTGAGATGAAGCCTCTCTCATTGACATAGATTGTACGTCATAAACATGGAAGAGGTGATCTTCTCAAAATGCACAATTCCGGAATTGTTCGATTTGGTTTTTGCAACTTTCTTTTTTCTTCTTTTTTCTTTGTCTTCTCAGACTGGGAATTCTCCATCGAGGGCACAAAGATTACGAACATTTTTACTACAAGATTTAGTAATACAATCATGAGAGGTAAACATTCAAATTATGCTGAACAACCAAGTTATTGAAGAGAACATTATGTAGGGGTTTTTTTCAGGGTCTCTTTTGAACAAAATTCTGGTGGGGTTTGCTCCTTCTTTCTTATCAATGATCTATGGTCTTTATCCCTGCTCCGTCTCTCTTGTGTTTGCTACTCTCAATTGCAACACCCCTTATCGCCGAAACCTATGTGGCTTAATAGTGTAGCAAGTGACGTAAAACCCTTACTTAAACAAAAAAACACGTTTAACGAATAAAAATAACTGTACAATTTTTTCTTCACATTCCCCTCCGTTCGTCTCAAGATATAGGAAAAGTTGAGCCATAGTCTGGGTTTATCGCAACGACACTGTGGTGTCCCACTGTGCAAGTCCAGTATCTTGGGCTCGAATTCGAGTCCGAGGAATTTTGAAATACCGAATGTGTTCTCGCTTTTCGAAGGCTCGAATCCTGAGCACAGCTCAAGGTGGGCTATTATTTATTGCTGATGCCTTAACTAAAGTTTACAAACAGATCAGTTATGAAATTAATCCAAAAGTAGAAAAAAAGAAATATTTAAAAGTAGCAGACAATAAAGGAAAATAAAAATGTGAACATTACTGCAATGCTTTGAATGGTGCACAAACAACAAAAACAAAAAGAAAAAGAAAAAAAACACATTTCAGCAACAAACAAAAACGAAGGAAATAGCAAACGCTTTTGTTTCTACTAATAGTCATCACTGAGGGAAAAGGGTAAGTATTTGACCAGTTACCCGAGCACATGGAGGTTTTGGGATTCCAACAAGTTCTCCAGCATTTATACCTTTTCGAGCGAATACTCATAGGTGCTAAATAGACGAGTAGTTGATTGGCCTCGAGTACTCGCACAGCCTGTCTGTGGTGAACTCTCGAACATCTTCTTCCGTTCCCAGACAGACAGTAGTGTGAGTAGACCACATCCCGCAAAGACGAAACAGATTCCAGAAAAATGACAAAACATCTTACCGAATCGAAAGCGAAGAGAGAAAGAAAGAGAGAGAGAGAGAGAGAGAGAGAGAGAGAGAGAGATAGAGCCAGAGACAGAGAGACAGAGAGGGAAAGATAATGAGGAGAGAGAGACAGATAGAGAGAGCCAGAGACAGAGAGACAAAGAGAGAAAGATAATGAGTAGAGAGAGACAGATAAAGAGAGACAGAGATAGATAGAGAGAAAGTCTTCTTCTTCTTCTTCTTCTTCTTCTCATAATAAGTATTACTATCACGGGGATGCAACTATTACAATGGGATTACCTGGGTGGTCTCCCTTGAAGTGCGAACGAGGTGAACTGGATCTCCACTCTCTCGTTGCTCTGTCCGATAAACTTGTACTTGCAGCTGACGCCGTTCGGGTAGTGACTTGGGTGGCCGGGAGATTCGAACGTCCCATTCTTCTCCTTGCTGTGGTAGCTGGAGAACACCTTGTCGCAATCTGAAACAACAGAAACGAAACAATTATTATTTCTTTTGAGGGTGGTTGGAGGAAATAATGTTGTGGATGTCCACAGCGTTCCTATTTATTTTAGGTAGATGGGGAGCTGTGATAATAATATATGACGTCTTGGTGGTGGTGGTGGTGGTGGTGGTGGTGGCGAGTGGGGTGTAGGTGTGTGTTTGTGGGGGGTGGGTGTGGGAGCATGAGTGTGTGTATGTGTGTGTGTGTGTGTGTATGTGTATGTGTGTGTGTGTATGTGTGTGTGTGTGTGTGTGTGTGTGTGTGTGTGTGTGTGTGTGTGTGTGTGTGTGTGTGTGTGCGTATGAAGGTGGAGGGGTGGAATACGGCTAAACAGTTATAAACAACATTCTCTTCCCCAGGCTTGCCCTAAAGTGGGGGCCGTATGTTCCCGGAGAAAAAAAGTACCACTTGAAGAATGACAACCGATGAGAGGAATGCCACGTATACCGTATGTTGGAGGCGCCGTGTTGCGACCCTGTGGCCCTTTTGGTGCTCTCGTGAAACGAAGTAAGCAGCAACTTCTCATTCTTTTAAAAGACTAATTCAAGCTAAAGATAAGGTGGTCAAGCCCATGGCGTTAAAAAAATGATTTAAAAATAATAAAAATAAATAAAACTGCCACCATGAAGAAAACAAGAATAACAATATAAGTAGACCTACAGGCATTTAATTTTTATCTTTCTTTTTTATTCAATAGAAAAATAGAAGCCGAAAACGTTGGGGGGACAAAGAGCATAAAAACCCCCAATGCAAAACGGGGAAAAACTGCAAAAGAGAATTCAAGACAGCAACACAATTGGGCAAGGTGCAGACTAAGAAGAAATGAGTAAGACGGGAAGAAATACTACACACACAGATCAGATTTACAAAAGGGAGAGACATGATCACCGAGGGGAGGGGTGCGCGCACAAAATGGGTGAGGGGGGGAGGGGGAGGAAATGAGAAAGCAATTAAGCCACTCATACATAAAGATAAGATCTGGGGACAACGTTGCGTCCTCGCTAACGGCTTAGTTGTAATCTTTGTCCGAGTGGGAACGGGATAAAGGGGGAGTTGGGGGCTGGTAAGGACACAGTTCGAAACTAGAGAGATAGTGATAGAGAGAAAGAGAGAGAGAGAGAGACAGAGAGAGAGAGA